GCACAGTACACAGTACCGAAGGCGTTAAAAACACCCCAATGCATCTCTAAGACTGTCAGAAGCTGCTAAGAGGCCCTGTATATATTTGAGTAATAAAGTGATACTGGCAGGAATACTATAACCTAGTGGAGTGGAGGGTGACGAATAAGTCAACTTCTTATCGAGGAAAGGAGCAGAGACGTCACTACAACCGACGCTGGCGATGCAATCAAGGCCAACTACGGTTGTAGAAACGTACGATCTACACCATATTAGCAATGAACGGATCAAACCCTCCGACTTGGGGATCTAAATAAGTTACCCCCTCTTAGAATAACGAACTTTTTAGTAGGCTTTAGTCTGATGGCCGAGTGAACGAATACTTGGTAGTGCGGAACATATTAACATATCATAAAGATTAAATCCTAAATGCCAAATTTTTATACCACAAGAATTTTTAAAATTTAAACAATAGAAGTGCAAATGCTTTTCTTCTTCTTCTTCTTAATTAAGTTTGGCACCGCAAATCAAACAAAATTCCCAACTGGCCATTTAGATGTTTAGCATTCCTTCGTGCGAAATAAGTGTATCGTTAATAAGGAATAAGGAAATAAGTTAAACATTCAACTGTCTGTGCATGTTGACCAATTTGACCAAATAAATCCCTAACCAATACCAAACGACCTTTATATTTCCTGGAGTGAATAAATAAAATCATAAAATCCTTAAACTTAAAGAAAACGTTCGTGTCGCGAGCCGAGAACTCCCGACACGTTGGGCCGTTTAAATCAGGGAAACCAAATTACTGCCAACAAGTAACATTAGAACATCGCTTTAGCTTGTTATAAATCCGCCCTAACGGAACAAATTATATAGTCACGAATACACGCGAACCCGAGTCTAGAAAATTGAGCAAAACGTCGAGAGGAAGATGAATTATCGGCCCGTCCGCTCCTTGGGAAATATCTTGCACGTTATTCGTTATGTGTACGTTGTACTTTGTACGTTTTACGTACCTATAATAAAATTTTAAATGCTTCAAGTGGAGCCTGATAGAAGTGCATTAAAAGAAAGTCGATATTCAACTAGTAAACGAAAGCTTGTAGCCACGATTTTGCTGAAGGAAAAGAGAAAAGCACAAATTCCTAAATTGTCTTCGAGGAAACAGGATCGGTTAGGTCAAACTGTAGAAATGTAATTAAATAATGATGCTGACTAAGTATTTTATTTACTTTACAGCACCAAATGACATTCCGAAAAATTAAAAGGGCCAAATAAAGCGGCCGAATAAATTAATGGAACTGAATTTTACTTGCAGCTTAGAACTATTTCAATGGCGGAAACGGCAATTCTCTGTCGTTTACGGAACCGTGATTAGAATAGACGACGATACAACCGACGATTTTTTTTCATATTCGTAAAATTGTAAATTATATCGCGACCCTAATTTTCTTGGCGACGTGAACTAGTTTCCTCCATTAGCGCATATTAATATACATGCACTCAATTTGCAACTCTCAAAAGAGTTCGTGGCGTAATGCAGCCAAAAGCAAAATTAGTAGTCGAAAGTTGGCTTGCGATGCATGAACGCTGTTTTCATTAAAATTTACTTAGCGAGTGCGTCGAGACACTTTATAATGATGCATCCTTACCGCCATATATATTTCGACATAGTTATCGTGTTTAGATTTGGAAATTTGGCGACTATGAATTTTTTAAGCGATTACGAGGTAGGATGTGCCTAGAATTATAAGAAAGAAATAAAAGACTACTAAATTATTTAAAAATTCATATTTCAGTCAAATTGCATGAATTTGTATAAATATATAGCCCTGCCCCATCCCTGTATGCCAACTCAAATTGAAATGTTTTGTTAGTGTTATTAGCTATCACGTAACTGATAGTTAAATCGTTAATATTTATTGCTCCCTCGTAATTCTAAAAAGTAGCATTATTATGTTCGGTTTCTTAGGATCTGTTAAGCATCCCAGAGATGCCAGGGGCTACAACTTAACTCGGAAGATCAACCCAATTGTAATAGTTTTTATAGGGCTAACTTTCGAATAAAGTCTGTTTATAGATATAGGAGAGTAACTAACTGATACGAATTAAGGAAAGACCCGGGCCAGCTGTAAGAATGAAATATAGAACAGGTTTATGTTTGAATCTAAAATAAAATTACAAATTATTTCTATTACCTACTTAAATTACTTAAAATTATTCACATAATATATCAGTATCGCTATCATCGCGTATTCTAATTATTATTTGTTCTATATTATTTGCAATATGGATATAAGATTGTTCTTCTTTTTCTATACGTTTAACAGAATTTGCCCAACTTGGAGGGATGTTAAAAACTTCGGTTTCTGTAAGTTTGAGGATATTGGAGTTCGCACGGGGAAAAACATTGTTACGACGAATGGCAGATTTAAGTTGGTGTCAAACATATTCAATGGGATTAAATATACAGTGGTAATGTAAGGCCTTAAAACTGTGTGCCCTAGATTTTTTGCATCTCTATCACAGACGCATTCCTTTTGTAGGATCCAGTTTTGTAGAATCTCAATTATTTGCTTCTTGGTATAATCTTCGTGAAAATAAATGTCGTTATTATACATGTAGTTTTGGATTGTTGCTTTGTGTCACATGAGGAAGGGGTTTTAGTCAACTGTCTACTTGATAACTTGCATTGTCCATTACAATTACGCTATTAGGAGGAATGTTTGGAAATAGTTTGTTTTTAAACCAACTTTCAAATAAATCAGCGGCGGTGTCATCATGGTAATCCAGAGAAGAATCTTTAATATTTTTCGCAGACAGAGAAAGTCCATTTGGAATCCAACCATCTTTAGAGCCAGCATGCAAAATAGTTATTCTTTTACTTCTTTTTGATGGCGCGTTTGTTTTACACTTATCAGTTGAGTCAACCTAAAATTTTTCCAGGGTATCATAAGTGTCGAACCAGGTTTCATCCAAGATATTCCAGTCGCCATTTCCGAAATCTAAAAGATTCCATTAAAACTTGCCTTTTGTCAATTTTTTTAAATCTAAAACCCATGTGTTGAATACACTTCCATAAGGGAGTTCTGCCACTTTTAACACCGGATTCATCTTTTTCAAGCCTCCTAATTAAGACATCTAATGTAGGCACGCTTTGTTCCTCGTATAACAGGTAAATTTTACGCCGTATTATATCTTGATCACTTTCATCTACACTCATCTATTCACAATTTTCCATACAGTTGATGTTGGAATTTTCGTCAATGTGGCCGTTTCTTCTAAAGATGCTTGCTTGCTGGCTCCACGTTCAATGAGAGTCAAATAAACATTGTTTATAATTTCCTTAGTCTCAATAGAATAGTGTTTTCTACATTTGGGCGGGAGCATCTCCTGAGATACACTAGACTCGCAGATATTTTGCATAATTCGCACACGATTCAACACACGCTGTATTACACACGAAATAAGAATGATTACTAATTAACTTAAACTAGGTAGTACACCAAACCAAAGAATATTACACACAGGTAGGTATAAAATTATTTTCTATTATGGACCACAATTTTACCTGTACTACTCATGTAAACAAAGTTGGGTGTGAAAAATTTACAAATTCTCAAAAGATGATTCTAAGAATGCTAGTTCCAATGGTTTTAATATAAGAATGCAATAAGTTGAAAACTCTTTTAGCCTCTTTTTCTTCAAAAGTTACTTTAAAGTTAGTTTTGTGGTAAAATCTATATATCTAAAAATTTTCTGACACTGACAAGTTTTTTTTTTTTATTTGACATCGATAGATAAGTTAATTATTAAGTACATGAGGCAGAGCGCAATTCATTTATTGCTTAAAGGATTAAGCGCTATAAACATAACAGAGAAAATTGCGATTTGTCCGTGTCTCTGACCGAGTTTTGCGAATTAGGCGGTTTCAGGTTTAACCTGCTTAAAACAGGTAAGCTACACCAATAGACACTGGTCATTTTTAATACTTTATTGCCATCCCTTGAATAAATTAATTAACTCTTTTCAAAAATCGCTGACCTGTTGCATTTGCATAACAAGCGAAACTCAAATTAAATAAAAATAAAATAAAAATTAAACATTGATTAAATTGGAAAATTGAAACCTGAAGTGAAGGCGGCGATAAATCAAAATTAATCCTCGTTAAACCGAAATCGGAACAGGCCATACGTACGAACGAATAATGGGAGAACCGAACTCTCCAAGCTAGACGATCGCGTTCGCATTCGGGGAATAGTAATTTTAAGTTTCCACAATAAGAGTGAACAAAACTTTGACACCTTACAATTTCGCAATCCATTCAACGAACGCTGAAACGGCGCACTAAATCCAACGTAATAGCAGACTTCCAAACACCTACGAATTACCGTTGAGGTGGGCAGTTTGTTAAATTTATTTCTTTCTCGAAACATTCCCTCCGTTTGAATAATGACTAAAGTTGCTAGGTGCTAGGCTTGTTGAAGCCTTCGCGAAGATTCCCCGATTGAATGGGTTGTTTTTCTTCTCCCCTCGTAAGCCGCATAGTTGCCGATTTATGCGGATGGGTATGAAACAGAAACGAACGAAGATGAAGAAAAATATCGTTATAAATTAAAAACTAGCACAACACAATTTTTTTTGCTTTAAAATTTGGGATTAAATTTGTGCCGCATGCTGTGGAGAAGTCTTATGAGGTTTAAGTGCGAAAATGGTAATTTATTTCTTATTAAATTCTTCAGAAAGTTGGACAATACCTTGGGATCGTCTTCGGAAATGCTTTTTAGCAGTTTTTTTTTTTAATTAAATATTTTTCTCAAGTACCCGAGTGGATTATTATTAAAGTCAGTAAACAAGACGAATGAACTTTCTTTTGACGAGAGTCAGCTATCTCTTTAACGAATTTCCTTTTACTCTCTGAGTAATTGTTGTTTAAAAAAATTAACAACTAGCCAGGTTTTCCATAAATTTTCTTTCAAAATACGGATATATTTTGATTAAATGTGATATTTATTTTTCAGGTACAAGATTGAACGTAATCAAGATAAAAATTTCTGGCTACAGTCTAAAGCTTTACTTAATCTTGTAAGTATTAGAAATATATGAATTTAAAAAAGTTGCTTTGAATAAACCCAATTTTTGAAAGTCGAAAGCCAAAATTCTCGTAATGACGATTTAAAAAAACTATATTATTATTGTTCATTAATTTTTTATTTCAGGGTACTTCCTTTACAAAACAGAAACAAAAGATTTAAGGCATGGACGAACTATAACATGACTTTTGAAAAATTGCGTCAGTTGTTTCAGTTCATCCAAAAATTATTGTACATTAATTTTTCAAAAACAAATCAAGAACAAGCCACCGTTTGGTGATTGGAGCACATCGTACATTGAATAGTTATAAGTGGCGAGTAAAATTATATAATTTGCCCAAACGGGCATTTTGTTTGTTAGTTTCACGATTTCGATTGACCAGATGATAAGCAACGGCTCTCAGATAGGCCATATAAATTCTCTTTGCCGCAATGTCGGAGTAATTAGTTCTAGGTCGACGGTGGGGGCGCGCCTGTGTGTTCTAGTTATAGATTTTTGTGAAAATTACTCGCCAAGGTCTCGGTCCAATGGAGTTTAAGGTCGCCCACACTATGCCCGTCGTTCTTTACTCGATCTCAACTGAAACGGTTGAATGGAAGGTTGAGTGCCGCACAAGAATTCGATAACAAGCAGTAGGAGTGAGGGGTAACAGTAGTCGAACAAGATTTTGCATATTTTTCTTTCTTGGTGTCTGGTGAAATTCGATTTGCGAATTGCAAAAAAATATCAACATCTGACTTTTTTTGTATTTTTTGGGTAACTTACGAACAACTTTTTTTGGCCATTCATGATTTTTGATATTTTTCCTTTTATTTGAGAAAGACAATAAAAAGGAAAAGAAAACTTCATATGCCCTAAAGTTCTTTTGAGTACAGGGAGGTACATTTTTCAAAAATAAAATATATTTTTTTTAATGTCACTTTAAATATTTTAATGAAATTTGGCACACATGTACCGTGTATCAAGAGGCATTACTTAGTGTACCACATTTTAAATACACCAGTGACGGCCGTACAGAATTTCACATGTCTTTTTTTTCAGACATTGATGGTACACCGCTGATTTCTCTTACAATAAAAATTATTCTTACAATCTCCCATCATATCTAAAGTAATTTAATTTCTTGATTTGATTTTTTTTAAAAAAAAACCTCTTCTTTACAAGGTCATTATTTCTTACTTAAGTAATTGTCTATCTTATATAATTAATAACTCAAAAAATCGAAGTGAAATCTTTATAATTATTATGTTATGTTATTTAATTAAAACTATAAAAGTCAAAAGAAAAGTCTTCTAATTTTTTTTCTCAAGGACATTAGTTGGTAACTAAAAACTAGATCTTTTGCTTTAGATAGATATTTCTAGTTCTTGATTTGACCAGTACAGTAGCGAGCTTAATAACCAAAATACCATTTGTTCATAAAGAGTAAATTGCGAGCTACTGATCTCTTGATTTTTTTTAGTCCGTCTCACGGTTTATTGTTACGACCATGAAGAGAATAGGTTCTTATTGTTTTAAGCGAAAATGGTACATCGAATTGAGAAAAATCAAGAAATTAAATTTCTTTCGAAATACTTAGAGATTGTAAAAATAATTTTTATTTTAAGAGTAATTATATATTGTATTGTATATATAGTACATATGTGTCAAATTTCATTAAAATATCTAAAGCGGTATTACAAATATTAAAGAAAATATATTTTATTTTTGATAACTTTACCACACTGTATCTCAAAAGTTAAACCGTTCAGGACACATGTTCATATGAAGTTTTCTTTTTAAAATGAATCCATAAAGCGCCCTCTTAAATGCTGACATACAATTAGCAAACACACTGTATAATTAAATAATGTTGCGTTGTGTAACCCAAGTTTTCCAATAGGAAAAATGATTAACGGAAAATCGAACAGGAGTGAAATTTTAAATTGCATTGCTTGCTTCCCCGTGAATCTAGCGTTAAATAATAATTTCCACGATTTCACTTACTTTAAGTTAACATTTAAAATCTATTAGGCATGGGCAACAATTCTATTTGTAATCCTCCCAATATTCGCTAATCTAGTTAACAGGCAAAAAGATTCAAATATATTTGCAAACTCAAGCTATCCTCCAATCTGGCAACTTTTTTTATAAATAATACAACCGTCAGAACAAATTATAGACGATATTTAGAACATAAAAAAAAGTAAAATGGCCAGGGGACCCAAAACACTACCACTGTGGACCCCGGATGTGATTCGTACCTCGCTAATTATATGATTGCGGACCGTTGGAGTCTGTTCGAGAGAACATTTGTAAATCAAAGGACACCAATGTAGTGCCTGACACTTGCAACCTGTAAATCCAGACATGTTTGGATCCTTATAACATTAGCAACACTCTATAGAAAGGTTAAATCATGGAATCTGACATATAAACAAATAAAGCAATGTTCGCTGTGTTCAATTCGTTGCCCATGTGAATTGTCAATCACAATTCTCCAAACGGAGCGAATCGCGATTTTCAATCGTTCGATATTTTAATTCATTATCCGCGGTGAAAAGGATAGGACCCGATCGTTTACATGCGGGTGTAAACAGATGTACGTCCGCTATTGTTTTTTTTTTTGCTTTCGTCGGGCGTCGCCCGCCATTATCGAAAAGCGCCGATACGCACGCACACAGGCGCACACACAGCACTGTTTTGTAAATTTCGTTGTTACTCTCTATCGATCATCGAATGAAAACCGTCTGTGTTCGTGTCGCTAATAATTATTCGTTCCTGGGTTTGATTCATTGTCGCGAGTTGTTTCCGGATGGATTAATTCTATTCGGATAGTCCGGTGGCGGATTCACGCAGGCATCCATTAATACGGGTAGTTTCCTAAGTTGAGCTTTGTTTTTACAAAACTCGCTAAAACAAACCAGTTTTATGAATACCTGTAGCTCCGGTTACTATGTCCGGACTCGAAACACTCGGAAAAAAATAATTTTATGTCATCTGAAACTTTAAAGAAACTACGAAATTTCCGAAGAAAATTCTGCAAATAATTTTATGCAACTTAACATCTCATGAAAACAGCCACTTAAAATTACTTTTTTTACGATTTTAGGCGATTTGGTTCATACATTTTAACTAATATGGAAACCAACCAGTGATTACTAATGTCAGGTGAACCAATGTTCTAATAATTAATAATATGATATGATAATAACAATAATAATAATAATTTTTCAAAGAAACTTCCACAGGCTACTGTGATACTTTTTATAAAACTTCTGGATTCCTCCTGCGTCGGTTTTTGTTGAGTCCAACTAGCTAACGTTTTGCCAATCATCCTGTTGTCTTCTTCGGGGCTTGACTGAAACGGGCTCACACACCACAAAATACACTTCACCACCTTTCAATAGCAATGAAACCGAAAGCAATCCCACATTGGCCACTGTTGTCCTTCCTTATATTCAAAACATCACTGAACACATATCAAAAGTTCTACAGAAATATAACGTCGAAACCAGATTTACTACCAATTGTCCAAAAATCTCTCAACATCTTCGATCCGTCAAAGACAAAATTCCATTTGAGATGCCAGGATTTTACAGCATTCCATTCATATGCGGCAAAGAATACATTGGAGAGACCGGACGAAAAATATCAACTAGATTCAAAGAACATGAACCGGACGATAAAACTAAAATTCAATTCTTCTACCAACCAAAAATCCAAGAGTCTATAGAAATCTATAAGCAACCTCACGTCCCTACCTACCACAAATATGGGAAACGGTGTAAAAGCAGGTACAGAGTAAAATGCGAGCCAGTTTCAGTCAAGCTCTGAAGAAGCCAACAGGATGATTGGCGAAACGTAAGCTAGTTCGGCTCAACAAAAACCGATGCAGGAGGAATTCAGAAGTTTTACAAATAATAATAATATTTACTTTCCCAAAGACAACTACAAAATTGTATAGGAATAATAAGTATAAAGGGCAATACCAAAAAAAATCGTCTAGACTATAAAATGTTTTGTGTAACAAAAATATTTGTAATCGTTTTTTAAATAGACAATGTTTTAAACGTTTGTCTTTTAACTCTAAGGGCAGGTGACCTCCAAGTCGTCGATAGCAAAGAGTATAAGATAGAGGGGAAGGTCGCGTATACTGTTACGAACCCCATCCATGGCAGTTCAAAGTAATGCGTCACACTGAAAATAATACAGTAGCTTGTAACGGATAATAGCACTTTACTTATATTTTATTAAAAAAAAAACTATTTCGACATAATTTTTTTTCCATATTTTACCATTCAAACTTTAAATTGAATTGAACCATACGTTCCGCGCGTTTTCCGCATTCATGACTGGACACAATCACTAGAGGCGTTGAATCTCGTGTACGCTTTTTAACATTTCCATTAATGGGAGTTAAAAACGTACAATGACATTTTAAAAATGAAAGGACTCGCCAGTATGAGAATTCCGTACTGGGCAAATAAACACCTACAAGATGTGCCAAAAATAATTTATCGGCATTTACAGATGCTCCCCACAAATCCATAAAGTAATCGAGACTCCACCTTCTTATCACAATGAGTGGTCAGTTTGAACGTTCATCCAAACTTAGTCCCAGAAACCTCGCAGTATCCCCACTTGAGATAGTGTCATTGCCTAAGGAAATATTAAAATCATGACATTGTTTCTAATAGTTATGAAACCTAATAGTTTGGGTTTTGCTTGCGTTCAAATATAGATTATTTTTTCCAAACCACGTGATCAATCTATCGAGAATAATCGTCATTACAACCCGACAACACCAAGGAAAGATCATCCGCACTCATCTCTATGCATTGACTAGCTGGAATTATACTCGCATTTGTGTTTTGTAATAAGTAATAATGTATTTATATACATATTTTAAAATCTACTTAGGAATATTTAAGAGCTACATATAATGTTTGAAATAATCGGTCATTTTATGTTGAATTTTTTAGTATGCCAATACGTCAATCGTACTTTCG